ATTACAAAAACAAACAAAAAACAATTTGATATGCTCACGTACATCGAGTATTCTGACCAAGCTTCTGTCATTCGCCACACGGCAAAGGGACAACTCAGGCGCTCGTGAGCCACATAGCTGCACGAGCTGGTCCTCTTGCCACCTGGCTTGCTTTCCCCGGTTGAGAAAGTCGATGTAGCAGGTGGCCAACTTCAAGGTGTGGATCCTGCTCGGTCTGTCGGAAGGAAGAGTTGGGATGATATTCCGTAGTGATGCGAAGGCTTCGTTCAGGCTTAGTGTGCGCTCTCTCTCGAGTGCGCGTTAGCCATCGATCGTTGGTCCCGTGTCAATTCGCCATTCTGATGAGCCCAATTTCCCGACTTGTTACAAGTGTCATAGTGGCGTTTTCGCCGAGCTCGCGGAAGGTTGGTGTATCGTCCGCTGGACCTAATGACATTTTTTTAATGGATTTGTTATCTGCCATCCAAAAAGCTTCAACAGGAGGTGGTGGATTTGAGGAAGAAAAAAATCGCATTTTGTGGATTAGTCGTGGTCATACCTGAACAGTGGAAAACGTTGATGTAGGAGGCAGAGGACAGACCTACACCCAGAGGTCATACATCACCAAGCTTACTGGGATGGGAGTCATGCCATCAGTCAGTCCCCAGTTGGCGACAGTTGTAGTAAAAACCCATTTTTGTGTCGGGGGGATTTAGTGAAACACCAACATTCTGTATCGGTTTTTAGACTTTTAGGTAGGCCTGGGAGGGTCATAACTTCGGTTCTAGGTTTTGAAGTGACGTGGCATCTACTTTACAGACTGTAAAACCGCTGCGAACCAATCACAGGACAGTAAACTCAAAGAGTCAGTAATCTATCACCACTGTGCTGACAGAAGAAAGAGAACATCCTGAACAGAAGTATCATATTATTGTACAATTGTGTTGTATTCGGTATAACTTTAAAACAACCACAAATATTTTAACATGATTACCAGAAATGTGAAGCATGACTAAAGCTTAAACTGTAAATATTAAATCATACGATGAAAACGTGCTTGTTTCTTAAACTGTAAATATTAAATCATACGATGAAAACGTGCTTGTTTCTTGAACTGTAAATATTAAATCATATGATGAAAACGTGCTTGTTTCTT